GATTAAGAAGCAAGTATACGTACCGTGAAGCCACATGTGACCACAATCGTTCTCGAATGAAGCAGAAAGTATATATGAATCATGAATTTATATCTTATTTACAAATACATATATCAATAGAATGCTTTCTGTATAAATAATATTTTTATTATTAACATATATATATGTGTGTATGAAAAAGAAATCCATTAAATAAACTGTATATATATTTAAAAACTTTCCTTAAATTGCTACAAACTTTTCCTTTTGAAAAAAATATTTCTTCACATTTTTTCTATAAAATTTATTGTTTTCAATTTAAAATACTACCGATGTTTCAGAATCTATTATTTGCTTATTATATTTTATTAAATAATATGTATTTATTTTGTCTTTCTTTTTCCTTACGTAATAAAACTATCAAAAAAGATTTTCGATTATAACTTTCACATTTAAAAAAAAAATTCATTGAGAGATTTCAAGAAACCTCAACAAAATTTGCTTCTGATTAGAAAAAAAAAACACAGTTGAGCTAAATGAAAACTTATCAAAAAGTTAATCATTTTTATCAATAGATTGATGTCTTCATCGACATAATCATTTTTCTATGCTATAAAGTACGAATATAACAAGCGTACAAAAGACACAGTCACATTTATAGCGCACTAATTAATATGATGGACAAAAAATCATGAAAAAAAACGTGAAAATAGTTGAGCACTCAACATTTTTTTTAAATATTTCAATTTTATAGATGATATCGGCAAATAATAATTTGATGGATGTAGAACTCGTGTCTATTTTTTTTGTTGGCGTTTTCGAATATAAATGAATATAATATATAGGATTATGTGATGCAATAATTTCTCTTTCTGTTAATCGAACTTCATTATGTAAAATGATTCAGATGATGATATACTAAATGAATTCATCGAAAAATGAGTGTAGAATAGTTTTTATATATCTGTAATATCTATGCAAACTTTAAATATCAGCATCGGTTATGATAGTTGAGAATCATACTTTTTTTCATTAGTCAGTAATTGATAACAAGATGATGCAGTCTCGTTCGTATATCCCAAATACAACCTGCTAGAGATGGTTTAACCTGATATTTTGAGTCTAATACAAACAAATAGACAATCTTCAGATTTCTCAATACGTAATTCACTATTCTTATACATATCCAGGACATTTTCGGCACACGTCTTTATAACTGTTTGTAGAAGAATGGTGTCTCCAAAACTTATGAATCTATAACGCTATTGAAGGCAGTGTATAGCATGAATGAGTGGTTGACTTTCAAAATGATGAGAAGCACACATATATTTTTAATACTTTAGCTTTCCTCTTCTCGCCTATATTTCTACAAAATATTTTTTGCATCAAAGCGCGCCTGAACCGCATTACGTTTCCGTCTAAGTCGCGGCAGTCAAAGGAGTCTAGATGTGTTTAGAAATGAAATCGCGTCAAGGCACTTTTGGACAGTTTTTATTAACCGCATGTAAATGCAGTTTCATTTAAAATCGCGTCCAAACGCGTTTCGAACTTTTCTTTAACCGCATCTGAATGCGATTCATATAAAACTGCGTCTAGACGCGATACATACTGACTTTTAACCGCGTCTAGAAGCGGTTTGAAATTAAATCGCGTTCAGACGCGATTCAAACTAAAACCACGTTCCAACGCGGTTTTGGTTTGGAATCGCGTCTTCACTGAAACATTTGTTGCGTCTAGACGCGGTTTTAGTTTGAATCGCGTCTGGCCGCAGTTTGTTAGCAATCGCATCTAAACGCGATTTAATTTCGAACCGCATCTAGACGCAAAAAATGTCTCACTGGAGACGCGATTCCAAATCGGATCGCGTCTAGATGCGGTTCGAAATAAAATCGCGTCCGGACGCATTTGAACAGTTCTTATTAACCGCGTTCAAACGCGGTTTCATTTACCATCGCGTCCAGGCGCGCTTAAAAATTTTCTTTAACCGCATCTGGACGCGGTGGCAATAAAATCGCGTCTAGACGCAGTAAAAATCGATTTTAGCCGCGTCTGAACGCGGTTTACAACAAAACCGCGGTGGAACGCGTATATCCTGCGTTTGGTGTTTACATGGGATGTGCAATGTGTGTTGGACCAGTTTAAAAGCTGTAAATGGATTCGTAAAAATTGTCAGTATTACCCTGTTCAAGTGAAACTTTTGATGCAATTGAAAGTTGACTTTACTGTGAAGCATTAGCATATAGAAGAAATGTTAGACGAGTGTCAATTTTGATTTCAAATAAAACATTGTGAAAGATATCATGGAATCTCAATGATGGCTTTAAAAAGATTGTTTTTAAATTACGAACTAAAGTTGTTGAAGAGTAACAACTTTGTTCGGCTTTCTCGTCTTTGATTTCATTACTCTAAATATTCTGTTCCTGATAAACTTTTAATTCATTAGGCATTTCAAAATTGGCGTTCACACATGTTGCTCAGGGTTAACTATGTTCTTTTTTTCTTATAGTCAACTTGATTTAAGTGAGAATATGGATATGAACATGTTTCTGATGTGTGAGAATATAAGTGCCCCATTCTCACTCACACCTTCAAGATAACATGAAGCACGGCGACAAAAAAACACGGTTAATACATTGAAAAAAAACGATTCATTGTTGTAACAGCATGAGACTCAATCCTACGTTGAAATTTTTGCGCAAACACGCATTTCTTATATCTCTCTGTTTTCATTTTCCTCTCTATTAAAAAAACAGATTATTTTTTCGTTCGTTCTTCCATTCATCCTATTTATTCATCTTAGATGAGTTGCAACATGTAATTATTGACGTGTACACGCACACACACAATATGGCTGCTTTGAATGTTAATGACATGGGCTGTATTGCTTCGCGTACACGTTCAAAACGTAAACTGTCTTTGTCGGTTCAAGACATGGTAAATAACGACACCAATGATATGATCAATCATGTCGCAAAACTATGGACTCAACTCAATGATGCACTTGTGTATGCACCTTACTTCCAAAACACACAACAGAAGGAGTATCTGAAGAGCGCATCAAACAAATCGAGTCTAAGTTGAATCTTTCTTTGTCAGCAGAAATATGTGCGGCGATTAGTGTACATGACGGACGAAATAAGATTAACTATGGACTGAGCTATCGTTTGATCACGACTGATCTTCTCCCGATTTCACAATGACGACCGTATGAAATGAAAGGTTCAAAATATGAGCTTCTGTTCGAGTTTCTTGCCACTAACGATGAGCTTGCAGCAGCTGAATTACGTGACGATGCTCGCTATCATTTAAATGCATATGTTAATGGCATGATGAAAGCCAAGCAAGCATCTAAGAACGAAACGAAAGCTACATATAGCGTAGCTGATGACAAAGTATTTCATGCACTTTCTTGTGAACTATTAATTATTAGAGATGGTATGGACGATTACATCGAGCGATATTTATTAAGTGTTCGAACAGGCAGAATCTACTTGGCAATACATGATATGCCTGAGTAGATATTGGTTGGTACTTTTGCTGACTGGATAAGAATGGGTATCAAAAATGCGTCAAACAATAAAAAAGATATTGTAGAATCTCATAAAAAGTTTGAAATAGATTAAAAAGTTTTTTCAATACGAATAAAATAGATTAGCGATGGTATCAAAGACAACGCCCTACGGTATTCTGTTCATTCAACAAAACGAGAAATTCAAGAAATTTTTATCAACCTTGAATTAGTTGTTTAGATCAATGATTATTGAGTGTTGCTACTCTGAATAGAAAGCCACAAATCACTCCCCATATGTCATATAAATTGATCGATTGCATTTGGTTTTCATATTATAGTTGAGCTCGTTTCACTGATTTTTTGTTGATTAAATACCATATCAATGATTGTTTTATATAAGAAAGTTCTTAGCACATGGGCAAACAAGGGCGCGCAATTGTATGTATGTATCCACTTTATACTTATTTTTCCACAGAACCTCACCTGGGATGATTCATGACACCAGTTGCTGCATGGACCTTTATTTTTAGATACAGTTATTGGTATGGCTAAGCCATATCCGGACTTCTGGAGTTTCTCTTCACTCAAATTCATATTCTACGTTGACAACCGCACCCAAAAAATGCATTAGTATACTCTGAATGAAACTGTAAGTATCATAGTTCTTCTTTCTTAGCCCCACTCGTCACACTAAAACTTCTCTGATAAAGCCTTAATTACGATTCTCTAAAAGTATATGAGCGTATTACAAAAGAGTGTGTCTCATTGAGGTAATTTTTTTCATGAAGCTTATTATAGTTCAAAAATGTATGCGTATAGTTGTGGATATTCTACGATTCCATAGCGCTTGAAGCAAGAAATTCGATAGCAGCATGCATACTTTTTTTCTTAGTGAATAGTACCTATCTGTCGTCGTTTCGAGCAGATGACAAGAAATATTTTTTTGTGCAAACTATTTAAGTAGATTATTTTTGATCTCATATCAAGCTTAATTCATGCTAGAAAAAAATGAATCTAACTATAACACTCCCAATCATTTGCAGTATTGAAATAAAACATCAACAAAAAAAAAACATTTCAAAAATCATCCAGAAATAATGGAAACTCTGAAGGCAAATGATTGAATACTTCAACCAGTCAACATGATTTCGAAGATTTCGGTCAATCATGACCAAAATCCATCATTTATTCGTTGAGTTACTCAATTCAAACCAATTGATTTTCATTTTGCTAAACAAATAATGAAGGCTTTCTCTTTTGTAGATGAAGAGTAGAGAGTATTGGCCTCTCACTGATAAATACGAAATAGTATCCTGATCATAGAGTCACAGAAAAATGACTATTGAAACGCATCAAAGTGAACTAAAATTTTCGACCAATATCAGTACAGAATGAGAGCATTTATTGTCGATCAAGGAGAAATTCTATTTAGCATCATAATATAAAATGAGAGTACTGTCGAACGGATTAACCATAATGACTGTCTATGAAAATGTTTTTCTCCAAATGATCAAAATCGAACGTTAGAAACGGGAATTTGCCAAATTTTGCTCGTAAGATTAAATTGGCTGAAAATAGATAAAGCTTCCTCAGCAGTCCATTTTTTCCAATCTTCGCGTAGATGATTTCCATACCAGACTTGAGCGAATTTCCAAATCTTTTCGATAGGTTGAATATCTCCCTTAGGCAAGCGATGTCGTTGGCACCAATTGTCAATAGCCGCTTCTGAATTAAAGATTAGCATGATACTACAAGTAAAGACCACATTGTCCCAAGCATTTTTCATAGGTATTGGAAAATGAACAAAAAGTGGCTGAATAGATATGATTTCTCCGTTCTTGATGTGAAATTGAATTTGAGTTGCTTCACCACCAAGTATCGTTGTAATAGTGACATCTTCTTTGAGAAGAGCAGCAACGCCTAAACTACACCAAGCACAATTACCCCACCATTTTCCTCGAGCACTTTCTACCCAGAAATTAGTTGGTGCCAAAGAGAATGGATGAATAATCCAGATTTCAGACGATTTTGGATGCAATACAACACCGTGATATTCTTGAAGATCATGTAGACACTGAATGACATCCTGTGATGATCGTTGAAATATCTTACTCAAATCTTCGATCGAACACGCATGCCCTTTCTCAATAATTGTTTGCAGAATAACACTGCGAAGACGAGCGAGATTCAATTCCATGCTTGTGATAACGTCGACCAAAAATGAAGTACAAATATGGACTATTCTTTCGTCGAGCATATATAACTTTTTTTCAATTCATAACTTTAAAACAACCAGATGGTTTTGAATCTCATGGTGACAATTCGATAGATTGACGTGATAATGAATGCTGAGACTAGAGGACGAAATAGTCTTATCATTTCGACAAGGACACTGTGGTTGTGTGTGCGCTAGTGTGAATGTTGATCTTCGCTATTTGTTTCTTTCTGGCCGAAACACCATGAATTTTAGTATGTATCTAAAACAAATTTCAGTTTTATTTGCGAGAGTGTGGGTGAGGATGTGGGTGCGGGGTGTGGTGTGGGTGGATATGGGTTCGGAGTGTGGGTGTGGTGTGGGTGGGCGTGAATATGGATATATTTATTCATCGCATCTGTATCCACTCTCCACACTCACACTCCACACCCACACCCACACCCACACCCACACCCCACACCCACCCAAATCAGGAAAAAGTACTCAAATCAGAAAAAATTAGAAGGGTAGAAGAAAATCAGAGAAAGATTCAAATTTCAGAAACTTTCCTGATTTTTCAGTAGATCTGGCCACCCTGATTGTGGAGTAAATGATATTTTAAGCATTTTATGCGTAAAGTCATCTTTTCTCCGTAGTCACTTAGCACAAACAAATCCTACCTGGCGAAAATAGTCGTCATTGAGGTCTTTCAATTTTGTTTCTAGATAGTGAGGCAGTAGCGAAAAAGCTGTTAAATATTTGTTTGACTGGCTCGATGCGCAGCAACCATTTATTCTTTTTCTTGATGATATCAAAGTTCTTTGTGAATAATGCATTGAAGGCAAATACGAACCATCGAAATGCCTCACATTAGAACTTCTTATACAAATACAAAGTAAAATCAAATTATGTCATTTGATCGATAGACAACCAGTCAGTTTGCATATGAGTGTTTTCTTTATGTTAAGGAATCAGAAGCATGAAAGTAGTTGCTTTTGCGACTATGAATATGTCTTGTCTACCAAATTCCATTATTCAATCACCATATGATTGCTTTTACTCAGTTGTTTCCTTTTTTGATATTCATATTCCGGCCAGGTTTTCTAAATGCACAAAAATTGTTATTCAAGATTGAATTCAATAAAAAACAATAATCTCGACTATTGTTTATAGTTATTAGTGTGCTGATATTATTTATTTCTTTTTTGAAAGATGTCAATGATACCCACTCCAAATCTTACTTTCACAACTTATTTCAAACGAATTCACATTTCCCGTAGAATAAAAAAAAGACTTGATACGTTATGCTCTCCCTCCGAACTAGATGCACAATCGCTCATCCTAAAAAAAAAATAATACGGACGAATTTCATCTAACAACGGTGACATTGGTCAGAGTTGAGATGCATGCTAGAAAAATGTACTTATCCCAATCTTTGTAGGGCAGAAGATTGCTCATTAGAAAAGTTTCAGACTGATGGTGAGATTGTTTTCTTCAATGGTGAACAAGCGTGGGTAAATGAGATGAGAAAAGCATCGACGAATCATTGATATCATTGCATCCTAATAGGACCGGCAACATCATTAGGCAATGTACTTGAAAAATACACATTATTGTCGATGAATATTTGACTGTTCGCTGTGACTAGTAGTTTACATTCTGGATATCGAAATTCCAGCACATCATCGAAAGAATATAATGTTGAACATAATATTCGATCAGCACAAATCCTGTTTAACTCGAATTGGTCTTATTTTAGTTTAGTACCATTAGATTGCACAACATTTATGCATTTGAATGGTATTCTCTGGAAGAAGTTTTTATCCTGTTGGAATCGATTTCGAACAGGCAACATGATCATCGGGAGTTATACAATATGATACAATGATGGTGGAAACAACATAAGTGCCATTCAACATTTTAATATTTGCTGTGATACACCTGAAATGCACGATATTCTTGCTATTTACTTAGCTAATCGTTACCCATCTGTAGATCTAATTATATCAAGCTCACTATCAATAATCGTGACTAACGATGGCTACAAAAAGTAAAACCAAACAATCAAGAATACTATCAATACTTGTTTGAGATACGAAGCATCGAATTCATACAAATCAACAGCTGAGATCGCTTGGGAAATGTTCGAATCCATAATACAGAACAATGTAGACAAAAACAATTAAAATGCTCATTTTTCTACATGTTCACAATTATGGTCTATTTTATTGCTCAGTATATCGCTGTATGTCTACCATTATCAATAACAACATTTTGTTTTTGCTTGCTGCTTTTACCCAGATTGTCAACATCTCGTGCACATCATTTCTATCGTTTTTTATATTGCCAGGTTATCAGTGAAAATAAGAATAACAGTGAATCTTCGGCTCTTCTTTCATTTTTATCTTTGTTATGTCATCGAACAGGGATCGTGTGTTTGTCATCGGAGCGAGTGGAGACATTGGTAGTAGAGTTGTGCGTGGTCTAATAAAAAAAGGCATCGAAACGACAGCATACGTGCGAAATGAGACAAAAGCAAACGATTTATTCAAAGATGAATTAGCCACTGGTCAACTGTCTATTGTTGTGGGTACTTACACATCTATCGATGTGTACAGAAAAGCAATTCAAGGACACACGCGTCTCTTTCTACTTGTTGTTGGTGATACCTACAAACCAGCATCAATGAGTCAAACAAAGGAAATCTTTGGCAAAATTGCTTTCGACCAAGGTGTCCGACAAATTGTCGATCTTTCGTCTTTCAATGTTCGTACTGATGGTAATCAAGGTATTATTGGATACATGCACAAAACGAGCGAAGATAAATTGTGGGCACTCGTCGACGATAGTCCCGATATGCGCTCCTTGGTCGTACTTCGTCCAGGAGCGTTTATGAGTAATCATTTTATGGGTGATGCGCAACTTGTCAAACAAGCAAACAAACTTGTTTCATGCGGACCTCCGACGTCAATCACTACTTGGATTGATACGAGGGGTAAGCGTCTCGAACCACATCTATTATAAATCACACAGATAGCACATTATAGAGTAAAATCCAAAGGAAGAAATACCGCAGAATATCTTACCGGCTTGAAGAAATACACTTCCGATAATCAGATAGACAGACTTGAGAACATGTGATTCAACGCTTTACATAATGGAAGTAGTTATCAGTCGGGACTTCAGTTTTAGTCATTGGCATATGAAAATCTTTGAAAAGAGTTCAGGCTAAACAAAATGAGTCGTCTTAATTTATATGTTTTTACAATTTATATACAAAAAAAATGTTCATTAAAAAGACTCTGACATTGTTTTGATATTGATAGACGTTGCCGACTGTGCCATTGTTGTGCTAACAGAATCTATAGAAAAGCACGATCGTTGCATCTATGAAATGGGTGTAGAAGTGCTGAATAACGAACAGCGAGCAGCAATCTTCAGCAAAATTCTTGGAAGAACCATCACGTACGAACAACAGTCAATTGAAGACTTTTACAAGTTTTGTATCAATTCTGGCATGGCTCATTCCTTTGCCTACGATTTGATCAAGCTTGCTTTCAATGGAGAGGGCAAGAACGCCACTCCTCAACTAGCTCTTCTTCTCAATCGACCTTTACGAACACTTGAACAATGGCTGACAGACAATGCTGCACTATTTACATGAACTCGCCGCTATTCTGGCAAACATATTTTGTTACATATATGATTCCATGAATTGCTTTAAGAATTTTCATTAAAACTTAATTTTGAAGAAGAAAACGGTCGCAATTATATCAGCGAGTTGTCGTCGAATGTTTGACGATTAGAAACAGGATTCGAAAGCGAATCGAATCAAATTTTTTTCTCACTGCTGCAGTTGATAGTGACTTCTTTTTTTCTCGCATATATCGTTATGGACGAGTGCATCCTGTGAACAACCATCACTTTCTTCTACTCTACTCTGAAAATAAAATACAATCTATCTATGAGAATAACAAAATTGAAATGAACGAAGAATTACATAGATTGAGAAAAAAGTGACTCCTTTTATCCTGAAGTGATGTATAGAAATAAGTCACACATTCTATTGTGTCAACAGAAAAGAGGCTATAAATATACAAAAGAAACAAAATAAAAAGTTTTATTTAGTCACGTATGAACAACGCAAATAGTAATAGTTATTACTTATCGATTTCTGAATTAAAATATCTTAGCTTTTTCATTTTTAACATATTCATGAATTTGTTTGTTTCAAAGCTGTGTCTAAAATGATTACTCGATTAATAATACACGATGAATAAAACTTTCTAATCAGTACCTTTGAATTGATTAGCTGCTAATGATTTACACTGAAATGATTTTTTTGATGGGTTTCATGAATGTTTATTAATAATTGAAGGATCTTGTACCACAGTTTCTGGAAATAATACAGGATCAGTCATCGTAGTCCATGTGAAAGGATCTAGAAAACAGAAAAAAGGAAAAGGAAGAGTTTTTAAAAGTATAAATAAGAAATCTACTGTTGAATTCCCAAAACTCATCATATAACTCAAAGTAAGGTTAATAAATACTAGTTGTGCAAGTACCCAATAGTGATATGATTATTATGTACTTGCTCTTCATCTTCAAGCAGATCAAACACATTACATGTACCAGACGGTTCTAATCCATTTAATTGGTTCTCGTTAATTGTTTCGAACGAGCCTATATTAATTTAGTCTTCCAGTTGTTTTTGAAATTCTTCAATACTCGATGCATCAAGATCACTAATCAATTTTACAATACCTCGAAATAATAAAAACTTTAATTCATTACTCTCTTCGCGCTAGCATGTTTTTCATTGAACAGTTTTTGAGATGCTGTTGAAGACATCATGTTGTTTACTGCTCAAAGTTTTAACCGTCCCATAATGTAAGATATTTCACAAAGTATTATTATCAATAATGCAGCCCAGTATTGTACTTGTGTTTCAGTATCTGATGATAAATCATATGTCCACGTAGAATGAAAAGAATCATCTTCTT